CATTGTTGTTCATCTTGGGCAACTCAAACACAGAGCAATGTTGGATAAAGACACAGTGTCAGTCTATCAATTATAATCAACTCGGGATGGAAAAGAGTTTTAAAACAGAACTAAAGACAGGTTTGAGCTGATGAGGCATGGTGAGGTTCAGATCTGCCATCTAGTGCTCAGACTCACATCTGCGTGTGTTCTCCTTCTCTTTGTTTGACCATGCATCTTCACACAAAGAACAAACACAACACGAGTTTCCAGCCAGCTTCACCTTCTTCTGTGCTTTATTCAGCATTACGTCCATCGGTCAGAAGCCACAGCAGCATCAGTTTTAGAGAGTAACATGTCAGTTTTACAATAATAGTGCATCTCTGATGGGTTGAGTCTTTATCGTTCTTAATAGGCTGAAATAGTACATCTTGTGAAGCAGATGACTGACCCAGGACATGAGGTCTGTTCAGATTAATGCTGTTATTGCTGAATCAGTCTCATTCAGAATTAATAAAGGAGAGACTGTAGCATCATCCTCACCATCTGCATGGAAGATGGTATCTCATGCACCTTCGGTGCTGTGAGACCTTGAGAAACAGCGTGGGCTGCCGGGTCAGAGACACTATCACAGCATTACTAGCATCTCTACTTCAGCCAGGTTAGACGCCATATTGAATTTAATATGGGTGAAAACAAGGCTGTGAGGAATAGGCATGCACTGTATAAAGATCCTAGAGATTATGTCATTTTCTCAATTCAAATTGAGTGTTTGTCAGAAAGCCGTTTCATCGGTATGTTGTTAAATACTGTTAAACATACTGTACTTCAGTCCCTTCAAGCCTCGTTTTCATTCCTGTCAAAAAATGAAATATGGTATTACCCTGACTGAGGTCTATAGGGACTTTCCAAAAAGAGGCTACAAAATAGAGCAGGAAACTTTCCAAGGATTATATGTTTTATTGAACATCTGCTTTAAAAGAGGTTTGCAATTTTTGCACCGTTAACAAACATTTTTGACATGTTTAAATACATAAATACATGTGCAAATAACTCTAATCCTGATTTGTTTGATTTCATTATTTTCAAGTAATAACCCTTTAATATATAGGGTGCATTCGGGTAATTTTGACTTGTGTATCATATTTCCATATGAAGCCAAAACAATTAATAAAAATATTATATCATTATGACATCTCTAAGATGTTGCCTTATTAAATCAGAAGAAACTTTTCAATTGTTTTTAAAGTGGAAATGCCACATATATTAGTGCTCCTTGAGCCAAAAGGTGTGGATTTGCTAATGTGGGACAGCTCGTGCTCAAATCTGGGACACTATGTTTTGGGTTAGAAATAGTTTAATTTTTACAAAGCAAACTTCATATTTAACACTCCTGGTTACATGTTTATAACCTTTTCTGGTTAGTAGGCCTAGTAGGCCTACGGTGTGTTTGCTGTCTTCATCAGTTTGTCTAAAAACCTAGTACCTATGTTAATGTTAAATGGAATGTTAAATACAACTATACAACAGAAATCTTATACTATTTAAAGGAATTTATTTAATTAAACACATCCAAAATGGAGAATATGCTCACAGACACACACACACACACACACACACACACACACACACACACACACACACACACACACACACACACACACACACACACACACACACACACACACACACACACACACACACACACACACACACACACACACACTGAAATTAAATTATTAAACTAGTTTATTAATACTCAATAAGCATACTTAAACACACAGGCACAGAGACACTCACACATAGACAGACAAAAATGCACACACATTTTGTTGCAGATATAGATATTTGAAATAAATTATACTTGACACAATACTTATTGCAAGTCTTCTCTTTTTAAGAGTTTATATGTCATTTTCAGGTTTCACTGTAATTATAATGTGGCATAATTGTAAAAACTGTTATGTCTGTATGAACAAAATGGTAAACTTTGACTCAATGGGATTTTAAATGTTATAACAGTGATTTTATAATGTCTAGCATGAATCCATAACCTAACCTATGAACAGTACTGTTTTAGGGAATTTAGGGCACCGGCCATAAGTGGTCTTCCGCTGCCATCTAGTGGTTATAGATGCAATTTCTCATACAACACTGTGTTTAACCTTAATAACTATTACACTGTTATTTTTTGCACAATTTCTCTTAAATTTTGCACGCTTGTTTAGAATGAAATTATGCATCATTTTACACAGTTTTGAGAGACATTGTGGGCTTTCTTTTAGGATTTTAGGCCTTTGGGTACACAATGTAAAGAACATATAAAATTACCGGTTTATAGTTGTCCAAATGCAAATGTTCAAATTTGGTTTGATAATTATTGACCTACAGAGTCTAGAGAATAGTACTGCACTGATTTGATTGATTTTGAGTTCAAAACTGAGGACTAGTTCACAAAAGTAGGTTTTTAAAATAATCTCAAATATTTAATGAACAGTTTGTTTGACAGCATTGGTCCCAGAGGTAAAGTTCTTCAGAATGAGGAGATCTATCATATGATATGAAGATCTAGTGTTCGTGTAAATATATGAGAATTTTTTAGCAATTTGAGGCTCCACGAAACTTTGCATGTTTGTTAAGAGTCATCTAACACATGTTTTCGCCGCGTTTCAAAAAGTTTTGAGTTTTTGTTTAGGTTTTATAGGCTTTGAGGTATATTTGACCACGCCCCTTTTAAAATGACCTCATTATAGCTAACCAAAAGACAAAATTAAACATATTTTTGATAATTATTGATCTAGAGAGTCCAGAGAATATTACTGCAGTGTTTTGATCGAGATTGAGAAACAAACCTAGGACTAGTTCGCAAAAGTAGTTTTTTTAAATAATCTTGAATATTTAATGACCAGTTTGATTGACAGCATTGGTCCTAGAGGCAAAGTTGTTCAAAATTAGGAGATCTATCATATGATATGAAGATCTAGTGTTTGTGTGAATATATGAACATGTTCTACAATTTGAGGTCATTTACTACAGAAATACTGTGTTTTTGAGACCGTTTTAACTGTTATAGCGCCACCTATGGTCCAATCTCCATGAAACTACAGAAATTACTGCAGTGGTTTGATCGAGATTGAGCGAAAAACCTAGGACTAGTTCGCAAAAGTAGGTTTTTAACATATTT